CGGGGAATTTCACCCTTAAATCAGACCCCAAATACCTGCAGGTCTAACCCTGCCCAGCACTCCCAGGCTCTGCTGAGAGCCACCAGGGCACGAGTGCCACCCAGCCAGGGACAAGGGACAGCTCCAGCACTGAGCAGGGACACCTCTGACCTTCTCCCGGGACTGGGAGCACCGAGCCCGGCCAGCACCGCGATTGTCACTGCTGGAAATGAGACAGGGACAGCGCTCATCTGCAGCAGCAGCACCCAGAGGGAAAATCCATGATCCCTCCTTTCCAAATCACTGTACCCCTCCCTTTGAAACAAATTGGTTTGCAGATACGGATTAATTTAACTTCACACTGCCTCAAATCAACAGGATCCGGGCCCACAGATTGGGAAAATCAAGGCATGGAAGGGAAAATTTTAAAAAAGCAGAACTGGGAACAAAACCCTCTCTCTGTGCTTTAACTACAAAATCATCTTTCCTCATTAGCAGCTAATCAGAACTACCAGAGGGGAAGAGATTACAGACAGGGCGGAGAGGGGAGTAACTCACAGAAATACAGACATCAGAACAGATTTTCATTTATTTACTCATTTATCACAGTGAGTCACAGGCTTTGAGTTCATGAGTCTGCATTAGCCTTGCAGGATTTTGGGATGCAATCTCCAAAATCTCAGAAGTGAACAGGTCACAGGCCCGTGCCATCTCAGGAAGGAGAAAATCAGCACTTTGGGGCTGGAAGTCTGATATTGCTTTGCCTGCTGGATTAGAAGAACGCACTAATCTCCCCTCGCCAGCCTGCTCATCTCCCCGGGAGCCTTATCTGAACCTCGCCCAGCGAGAGCAGCCCAGGCTGCCGGGCTCTGGTCCCCAGGTCCCCACGGTCACAGCAGCCCCGGGATGTCCCAGCAGGGCTCCCTCTGCCCGGAGCATCCCCTCCCTCCCTCCCTCCCTCCGGCATTCCCGGCCCTGCACGCCAGCCCACGGGAAACCGGGAATGTGGTTTTAAACAAGAGCAGGAAATGGTGTCTTTGTGTCAGGCAAGTGGAAGAAATCCAGGACCAAGAGACTGCAGAGCCTTTCCACTTCAGACAGCAGGTGCTCTCCAAGATGTGGTTATGGCAACAAAATAAATGATGGATAATTGCTTTTGTGACAACTTGCCAATTAAATTAGACTCAGCAGAATAACATAATGACAATTTGTTATGCTCTGGTGGGCACTAACACACCAATCATAATTAAATGCTATGACTGAAATAGAATGCTGCTGTACACAGGAATATATAACCCCAATTCCCTCCCAGTGAAACATTATAGGTTCAGACTTGATTTCAATTTCTGGAGGATAACAGCATTAGCGCACATCAGAATGAGCCTGCAATATGCAGAGAGGCAGCCCGGGGACAGACAGAGCCAAGGGCAGCTGAGGCGCGGGGCTCCTGCGGGGAGCGAGCCCAAATCTCTGCTGAGAGCTCAGAGCCCCGCCTGGGGAGTGACCCGGGCCGGGGGAGAGTCCCAGTGCAGCCCCCGGGGAGTGACCTGGGCCAGGGGAGCAGCCCCAGTGCAGCCCCCGGGGGAGTGACCTGGGCCAGGGGAGCAGCCCCAGTGCAGCCCACCCTGGGGCTGGGGCCGTGGGGCTGTCCTGGGCCACGCTCCCCTGTCCTGGGAGGGAATTCCTGTGCCATGGCCGTTGCTGGTGCTGCAGAAGCAAAACACTGCAAAAAGCACCAAACCCGTTAAAAAGCCCCAAACCCCTTAAAAAGCCCCAAAGCCGTTAAAAAGCCCCAGCTGAGAACAGAAGCAGGCAGGTGGCAGAGCTGGCACTGCCCAGGTCGTGTAAAGCCGGAGCGATTCTGTGCCAGCCCCTCTCCAGAGTGCAAACAGCACATCAGAGCCAGCGCCCTGCTCTGATTCCACATCCATTTTCCTAACAGATGCAGATTTCTGGAATATTCCAAAGCTCAGAACAGGGCAGGTTTGAAGACCAAATGTGTGTGCTTGGCACGGCTGGGCAGAGGCAAATCCCAGAGGATTCCACAGAGTGGCAATGCCAACAATTTTATATCTTATTTGGAGCCACGTTCTTTAAGCACGAAACCCTTTATTATCTGCCTGGGTGAAGCTTGGCATTGGCAAGGTCAGATCACCTGCTTTTCCAGCAAGGCTGATGAATTGTTTTGGCTGCTCCAGACATTAGACTCGATCCTATTAAATCCTTAGTTCCCCTGCCCTCAACACATACAGCAGATAATCCATGGCCCAGGAACACGCGAAGGGCTCTGGAGCAGCTGCCTGGGGGCTAAAACAGAGCCCAAGCTCAGAGCCCGGCCCTGCAGCCCGATCTGAAGGACTGGAGGGGTTTGTTCCACAGGACACCTCTGCTCTGCTTGGGAGACATCGGGGTAAGGAATGCTGCATCCATCACCCCTGGGAGACTGCTCCAATCACCCCGCACCTGCATTGTGCCCCCCGAAACTTTCAGCCCGCATTTTTGGGACCCGGCCTGGGAGAACCTCCAGCCCGGCTGTGGAACGCATCCCTGCCCGCTCCAGCAGGAGCTGGGGCTGTGTGTAACCGCTCCTGCGGCATTCAGTGCCACTGCAAATAGCCTGGCAGGCACCAGAGGAGCTGCCCCCGCGGGAGGAAGGGCAGGAACGGGCGCAGGGAAGGTCACACGGCTGCCCCGGGGATGGCGAGGCAGCGCCCGCCGGTCCCCGGGCAGGAGCGAGCGCTGCGGGGCCGTTACCGGAGCGCAGAGCCGGGCACAGCCCCGGGATCCCGGAGCAGCCTTTGCCTGCCCCGGGCAGGGATCCCGCACCGCGGAGCATCCCCCGTTCCTGCTGCCTCGCAGGGGAAACCGCGGTGCCTTTTCAGGGATTTCCTGCTGAAAGCCGGGATCCCAAAGCCCGGATCCCAATCCCGGATCCCAAAGCCGGGGGGATCCCAAAGCCCGGGGGGGATCCCAAAGCCGGGATCCCCCCAAAGCGTGGGGGGATCCCAAAGCCGGGGGGGATCCCAAAGCCGGGGGGGGATCCCAAAGCCGGGGGGGGATCCCAAAGCCGGGGGGGGATCCCAAAGCCGGGATCGCTCCCAAAGCCGGCGGGGCCCGGGCAGGGCTCGGTGGCCGCCGCCGCTCGGTACCGGGAGCGCGGAGCGCGGCTCCCACCTAGCGGGGAGCGCCGGGGCACCGGGGGCTGCGGGCACCCTCAGCCCCCTCCTGCTGCCGGGAGAACGCCCCGGCAGTGATAAATCGCCCCCCCGGCTGCTGCCCGCGGCTTCTGAATTAAATTCCCGCAGTTACAGCAGGTCCCGACCGGCAGCACCGCCCTCAGCCCGGAGAACGCTGCTGGGGCTCACTGGTTTGACTGGTTTTGTCCGAATCGCACTTTGCAAACGCTCCGGCTCGCAGCCCTGAGCCCGTGGGACCCCCCAGACACAGCAAATCCACGGCGCTGGACACTCCAAACACTTCTCCATCCAGCACAGCCGACCCTGCCCCAGCCCGGGGCTGCCCTGCCCCGGCATTTTCCAGCAGGGAATTCCCACCCGGGCACCACGGCGCGACTCCTCTCCCTCCTCCTGCTCCGGCCCCTGTCCCGAATCCGTCCCGTACGGATTTCCAGGTTCTCCCTCCCTCCGGCCCCTGCCCTGGATCCGTCCCGCACAGATTTCCAGGTTCTCCCTCCCTCCGGCCCCTGCCCCGAATCCGTCCCGCACGGATTTCCAGCTTCTCCCGCACCTTTGGCCACGTACCTGGGTCGGGTGCGGGGGCGCAGCACGAACCGCTGGGGCAGGAGCGGGGCCGGGCACGGAGCAGCCCCTCAGCCCCTCAGCCGAGCCTTCCTCCCGAGCCTTCCTCCCCTTCCTTCCCCTTCCCCGGCCGGGGCTCGGCTCCCTGGGCACGGGGCAATCAGCCCAAACCCTCCTCAGCTGCGGCCATCGCCGCGGCCTTGCTAATTAACGCCCCGTGGCCTTGGTAATTAACGCCCTGCAGCTGGTCCCCATCACCTTCCCAGCGAGGAGAAGCCCCTGAGGGGTCTCGGTTCACCCCCAGCCACAGCTGGTCCCGAGGGCAAACCCAGGGCTGCCCTGAGCCACCCACCGGCTTTATTCGGCACCAAACAAAACCAGCCCCAACTTTCTCCTCATCTGCCCCGCACAGAAACTCCTTCAGGGCAGCCCCAGGCTCGGGAGGGCTCTACATTGATGCTATTGCTGCAGCTGGAAATGGATCAGTGCTAAAACAGCGATTTCTGCTCTTTGTCACAAAACTCTGAGAGGGTTTAGCTCTTCTACAAGAGCAGAACTGGGAATAAAGTTTGACCTCCCAAGGATAACTGAGCAATTCTGCTGTAATCACAGCGCTGCCAGGAGTGAAGCAAGGCACAGAAACCGAACCAGGGGCATTTCTACCTCCTGCTCTCCACTGCCAGCGAGCTTTCCTCAGCAGCACCAAACCGGGCAGGGAGGGACATCACTGACACCCCTTAGTGCGGGGTGGTGCCAGTCCGGGCTGTTAAAGAATCACAAACGGAAGAAAAACACAGCAAAAATCACCAAGAAAAAGATAAAAAAACCCAGTTTGTTATCACACAGCCTAAGCAAAATGTTTCAGGAAGATCAGCCATGCACTGGGTTTGCAGGCACAGAACTCCATCCCACTCCCAGCAAGACTGGTTGTTGTTTTGTCCATAGCATCATCCTTCTCCCAGCAAACAGCTGGAACATCCCCTGCTCACCCTGCAAACGTGGCCACTGCACCAGGACCACCCAAACCTGCACAGCTCCTGATTTTCTGTACTGCCACACCTCATCCCACTCTGAATTGAACAGGAGAAGGGATGGGAAGAGCACATTGTACCACTGCTGTAAATAGCACCTTTCCTCCATCAGCTCTAAAAAGGTGACACTCAGAAAAAGGTGGCAGCTGCTGGAATACACCAAACGGGATCTGCATTCCCCCAGCAGGAAACTTCTTCACTACTGCACACCAGACACCTGAACAGGCAGAACTTCCAGTTTTTCATGACAATGTTTTAATTTTCCACTTTTACACTCGGTATTTTCCAACTTGAGTTCGGAAAACAGTTGTGAGCCCTAATAAAAAACAAAAAAATAAGATTATCTGTGGCTTTGTCAATGTGGAGCTGGACAGAGGGGAACATGTGTGCCATGGACAGGCCTGGAGGGCAGCAGGATCCTGTCCCTGAGGGAAGTGTCCCCAGAGAGGGCTGGAGGGTGGCTCCTGGCAGGTGACAGGCTCAGCAGGGCTGTCAGGAGGGACGGGGATCCTCCTTCTGTGTCCCTGCCAGCTCTGGGGGCTGCTCCTCCCCGTCCTTCCTCTTCTCCTGCAGCACAGCCTGGGGCTGGGGCTGCCAGGCAGGATCCCTGGATCCAGCGCCCTGCTGGGCCACCTGCAGGGAAGGACAGGAAAGAGCACATGAAACGGGCTGGGAGAAGCCTCTGAGGGGTGACTGAGGGGAGCAACAGCCCTCTGAGTGTCCAGGAAGAGTTTGATCCATGCTGGGATTGTTACAGGGCACAACACATTCCCAGAGAGGCTGCTGACCTCCAGCTAAAACATGGGAAAATTCAAGGTACAACAACAAATATACAAAGTTCCAAATGCTTTATACAGATCACCATGGATTATTTGAATGGTTATTCAGTTTCATCTCCAGAAAAACATCTTTTCTGAGCCCCAAGTCCCTTAACCACGGCCAGACCTGCTCATGGCCACGAGGAAAGTTTTCCCTGCACAGCAAAGACATTTTTAGGGCCATCAAGTGTGTGACTGCTGTGCTGAGGATTTAATTCAGACCAGCTCAGCACTGAGGGCCTGGCAGTGGAGTTTTCCCAATCCACCACCCAAGGAACTCTGTGGGTATTTAATACTCACTTTATCTACTCCTCTTCTCTGTAAAAGGATCCCACTGGCCAGAAGGGCTTTTCCTGTTTCTTCAAACAACTTCTCCTCTTCAATTTTCCCTTCTTCCTTCAGCTCATTGTATTTCTCAACAAACCTGGGTCACAAAGTTGCTTTTTTAACTCACAAATACTGCTCTGGTTCCCTGCCTGCAGGGGAGGAGGGGACAGCCTCAGGACATTCCTGGTTCAGGGATCACCTCACCTCTGGCAGGTCGATTTGAAGTTTAACTGGGTCAGCTCGAAAGGTTTGGGGCCGTTGCCATAAACTTTGTAAAACCTCCTGCTCAGAAAAGGGAAGTGTTGAGATTTTGCAGCCAAACCACGAGCAAAGAGCCAACAGCAGGGTCAGAGCAGCAAGGGAGCAGTGAGGGATGCACAGGATCATTCCTCCTGCTCCAGGAGCCTTCATGGGCACCTGGCAGGGTGGCACTGGGGGGCACTGGGGGGCACTGGGGGGCTTTAGGGTCCCTGGCCACCCAAACCCGTCTGGGATCCTGCACAGCTTCCTTCCAGATTCTTAATTGTGTTAATAAACGCAGGTTAATCACCAGCAGCCGTGGGTCAGGGCAGCTCTGGAGCTCTGTGCAGGGCAGGGCCCAGAGGAGCCCCCACCTCTGCTGGAAACACGGGCAGGGCAGAAAAACCACCGATTTATCCCAAAACCCACCCCGATTTACCCCAAAAACCCACCCTGATTTACCCCAAATCCCAAATCCCCTGCAATTTACCCCAAACTCCTGCAGTTTTCCTCAAACCCCCCTGGTTTACCCCAAACCACCCCGGATTCACCCCAAACTTTACGATTTACCCCAAATCCCCCCGGATTTACCCCAAACCTGCCTGATTTACCCCAAATCCCCCCAATTTGCCCCAAACCCGCCTGATTTACCCCAACCCCCCCCAATTTACTCGCAATCCCCCCGATTTGCCCCAAATCCCCCCAATTTACCCCAAACCCCCCCAATTCACCCCAAATCCCCCCGATTTGCCCCAAACGCTCCCAATTCACTCCAAATCCCCCCCGGTTTACCGGAACGCCCCGGTTCCCCCCAAACCCGCCTCGCAGCGGGTCCGTGCCCGTGCCGTGCCGTGCCCGCTGCCCGTGCCGGGCCGTGCCGTGCCCGCGGTGCCCGGGCCGTGCCGTGCCCGTGCCCGCGCCGCACTCACGCCCGCACGGTGTCCTCCCGGTAGAGCACGGCCCGGACGCGCTGCTCGGTGCCGTAGCGCGGCCGCGGCACGCGGTACACGGGCTCCCGCAGCGGCGGGAAGGCGGCGTACACGTCCAGCCACAGCGGCTTCTCCAGCAGCCCCACGCGCACCAGGCTCCGCGCCCTGCGGCCACAACCGGCTCAGCGCGGGGCTCACCGGGAACCGGCGCCGCCCCGGCTGAGCCCCCCCCGCCCCTCCCGCCGCCGCACCGGCTGAACACGCTGCCGATCTTGTGCGTGCGGCTCCCGGCCGTGGCGGCCATGGCGGCCCCGCCGGTGCTGCACCGGAACCGGGACCGGAACCGGAACCGAGCGGAACGGAACCGGAAACGGAACCGGGGCGGCCGCCAGGGCACGCGGCCGAGTGCCGAGCGCCGAGAGGAGGTGCCCAGGCAGCGCCAGCCGATGGCCGAGCTGGGTGGCGCCCCGGCGCTGTCGCGACAGTCGGGACCGGCCCCGGTGTGGCTGTGACAGCGACACCGTGACAGGGACACTGTGACAGGGACACCGTGACAGTGACAGCCACAGTGACACCGTGACAGGGACACCGTGACAGTGACACCCACAGTAACACCCCACAGTAACACCCCACAGTGACACCCACAGTGACACCCACAGTGACACTGTGACAGTGACACCGTGACAGTGACACCCACAGTGACACCCACAGTGACACCCCACAGTGACACCCACAGTGACACCCACAGTGACACCCACAGTGACACCCACAGTGTCACCGTGACTGACAGTGACACCGTGACAGTGACACCCACAGTGACACCCACAGTGACACTGTGACAGTGACACCCACAATGATACCCACAGTGTCACCGTGACAGTGACACCCACAGTGACACCCACAGTGACACTCACAGTGACACTCACAGTGACACCCACAGTGACACCCACAGTGACACCGTGACAGCGACACCGTGACAGTGACACCCACAGTGACACAGTGTTAAGAGTACAACAGGACTTTATTATAGGAATTACTATTAAACATCTTTAAGAAAAAAATCACTTATGGAAATAAGTTCTAAAATAGCCACACTCACAAACATCACGGACCAGTTTGGTTTGTTCTTCCAAAACCTTTCTGTAGAGAAATGATACAAACATCATTGCGAATTGTACATTTTTATGTAAGAAATGCGTTTTGGCTCCCAAGCCAGGCTTGTGGCCTTTCCACTCCATAGACCTGATTTTTGTTTTTCACAGGACACAAAATAACCCCTCTCCACCTCCATTAAACGGATGCTTTGTGCCTCCAGGACATTGTGACACAGCCACAGAGTGACATCACCCGGAGGCTGTGCCTGGCCTGGGATGTTTGAGGGCAACTTGTTGGGTGGTGGCGGTGGCCGTGTCCAGAGCCCTGTGCCAGGCCCGGGAGAGCAGAGTTCCCCTTCTGCTCTGGTCTGGGAGAGGAGAATTCCCGAATTCCCGAATTCCCCTCCCGGTCTGGTCTGGGAGAGCAGAATTCCCACATTCCCCTCCTGGTCTGGCAGAGCAGAATTCCCAAATTCCCCTCCCAGTCTGGTCTGGGAGAGCAGAATTCCCGAATTCCCGCATTCCCCTCCCGTGGGTGCTCCCTGTGCCCATGGAAGCCGCGCTGGCAGCGCTGCCGCCGTGCCGGAGAGCCGCTGGAATGGTGACAGGCTGATCCGCTTCCAGGCTTGATTTTCTTCCAAATACGCAGAGCTGCTTTGGAGTGGGAAGGAGAAAGGGCGGCCCCGCAGGCCCCAGAGGGCGGGGAGGGAGCCCCTCTTCTCCTTGGCGCTCTCAGGATGGAAGGCCCACCCAGGGACTAAAGGATTTTCCATGTCCCCATTCCCCCTAGCTCCCTGCACCCTGAGCCAGGCGCTCCTCCAGAGCCACATCGTACCCTGACCGCTGTGCACAGCAGCAGGGACAGCCACAGCGTGGGACAGTGTCCCCAACCTGTCCCTGTGCTGCCACCACTCAGGACATGCTCTTCCATCCTTCAAAGGAGAGGGCACCACAACTGGAATGGGCTGGGTGGGGTGAGAATTCTGCTGCTTTGATTTTAAGAACCCAAAGCTTGCTGGCATCCCAGAGTGCTCCCAGTCCTGGCCCTCGGCACCTCTGAGCGCTGCGGGAGAGTTTTGTGCTGTGGAGACATCACCTGGGAGCAGCCCCAGACACCGGGGAGCAGCCCCAGACACCGGGAGCAGCCCCAGACACCGGGGAGCAGCCCCAGACACCGGAATCAGCCCAGACACCGGGAGCAGCCCCAGACACCGGGAATCAGCCCAGACACCGGGGAGCAGCCCCAGACACCGGGGAGCAGCCCCAGACCCCGGGGAGCAGCCCAGACACCGGGGAGCAGCCCCAGACACCGGGAGCAGCCCCAGACACCGGGGAGCAGCCCCAGACACAGGGGAGCAGCCCCAGACACCGGGAGCAGCCCCAGACACCGGGGAGCAGCCCCAGACACCGGGAATCAGCCCAGACACCGGGCAGCAGCCCTGCCCCTGGCCAGGACCCAGGGGAGAGTGAAGCTGACGGGATGTCCCCCATCCCCAGCACGGCTGCAGGGGACAACAGCAGCACTCAGCAGGTGCAGCAGCTGCAGCAGCTGCAGCAGCTGCAGCGCTGCCGGGGGATGAAATCTTGGCCTCTGCTTCAAAGGCAGGCGGGCTCCAGTGGGATTGCAGAGCAGCCTGCCGAGAGGCAGCGCCTGCAAGGGGGACTTTTGTTACCAAACCCTGCGGAGAGGCAGCGAAAACAGTTGCGTGAGTGTTTGATGGCTGGGGCTCCTGCGTCTGCCGCCTTCACAGCTCCGATCCTGCAACATTTGTGCTGGTTGGCAGGAGCCAGGGAGTGAAACAGGCACGTCTAGAGCCACCTCCTGCACTTGGCAGGGAACGCCGTGCCGATACAGGAGAAGAAAATGTGCTCGCGGGAGCGAATTCTGACTTCACGCTCGTCACTCATTACTTACACAGCGGAGGAATTTGTTTATGCAATTATTTTTAGCCTGACAGCATCTCCGAGAGCTGCAGCATTCCAGCGCTGCGGGCACGAGGAAGGGGCTCTGCTCCTGCCCCACACCAAACCCAGCAGAGCCCCCAAGCCCTGGTACAAACCCTGTGCTGAAACTCCTCCAGCAGCCCTGCCAAGCCCTGGCTTGGGCTGTGCCTCTCACCTACAGCAGGGGCATCCCTGGAGCTCCCAGGCTGCAGGAGCACCCCACAGCTGGGGGATGTGTCCTGCTGCACCGGTGAGGGCTACACTGGTGTGAAATCCAGCCCTTGGTGCTGCCCCACGGCCGCACAAAGCTTCCCCACCTCAAGGCAGTTGTAGCAATGCCGAAGGCAAAGGTTTAATTCAAAGTGAAACGCCTAGGAAAAGAAGGCCTTTCCTTTATAAACAATTTATATTATTTGACTATTACCTGATCTGAATCTCTGCTCATTACTCCTAGCAATAATAGACAACGGCTGTTAGCTTCCCTTCCTCCCGTGGCTTTTGTCCCGTGTGCGCAGAGTGAAGTTACGTCAGACCACTACAGATATGTTCAGGAGTGCTCCGGCCAAGCAGGCCCCACGTGGAATGGATCCTCGTTAGTACCACTGATTTCATTCCTCCTGGACTGATTTCATTGCTCCTGGCCGAGGGAGCAGGCAGGGCTGCTCCTCCCCAGCCTCAGCCCGCTGCTCCTCCACAGCCGCTCGCAGCAGCTGCCTGCTTTTTTTTCCTTTTCTTTTTTTCCTTTTTGGCTGATTTGCTCCGTAGGAAAAGTTGTTTTCAAACCATTGGTAAGAAAACATTGTGCCTCACTTTGATACTTGTACTTCGGAGGAGTACAGCAGCAGAGGGGGAACAGCCAAAATCTGGGTGATTTGTTGGGTGGGTTTTTCCTTTTTCAGCCATCTGCTGATGAAGCCTCGTGCCAGCAAGAAACCCCAGAGCTGGGACCTGCAGGGAGGGGAAGGGGAGGAAAGAGAACAGCAGGTGCTCAGCCTCAGACACACAGTGACAGCAGCCAGGGCTGTCCCAGCTGAGGCACCCATGGCCACTGATGGGGCTTGTCCCCACCCAGACACACTCTGGACCCAGCCTAAAGCACAGGTCTGCTGCTCCTGCCAGGCTGGGCCACTCACACCGAAGTGATCATCCCTCCCCAGTGCCTCTCACCGAAGTGATCATCCCTCCCCAGTGCCTCTCACCTTTACTGCCCGTCCTTCGGGGTCTCCTCCTCCTCCCGGAGCTGCTGCCGCCGTGCTTGGAAATCTTCATCTGAAAGGCAGAGGCAGGCAGGGGCTGTGGCCACCTCCACACCAGGGCAGCAGCCCAGGGGGAGGCAGCCCAGCCTTCCCCAGGGCAGGGTTTCCTTGCCCACAGAGAGAATTCCCAGTGGGACTGGGGGAGCTTCTCCCAGAACACACCTGAGAACACCAGATGGAGCCTTTTGGCCCACGGGGTATTTCTGCCAGGCATTCACACCTGAGCCAGCCCTGGGGTGGTTGTGGGGCCAGGCACCACGGGACCCAGCCCTGCCAAGCCCAGCACACCCAGCAGAGCCTGGCACAGCGCTCCTTACCATATGCATGTCCTTCCACGTCATCGAGGAGATTCGCTGTGGAAGCCGCTGTCCCCATCCTGCTCCCTCCGCTAAGGAAAACCACTTGTGGGGCCAGGACGTGGCCATGGCACCACAGCCACCCTTCCCAGACACTGAGGTGCCCTTGGGGAGCCCCCAAGTGAGGCCCCCCTGCCCCACAGCCCCTTTCAGGATACACCTGGTGCTTCAACAAGTGTTTCCTTTTTGATTTCCTCATCTTGGTCTTCTCGGAGAAGGCTCTGGCGAGTTCGAACAGCTTCTTGCGTGTGGCTGGAAGGAAGCAGCTGGGTGAGGGGCTCACCAAAAACCCTTCCCAAAGCTGCCACAGGCAGGGGACAGGAGAGGGGCAGGGCCAGGGGTGTGAGAGCCACCCGCACCCAACACCCTGTGGTGATTCCCAGACTCGGAGAGGGAGACAGGGACACCTCGGTCCCTAGTGGGAGGTGCTCATGTTTTACCCTTTTTCTGGGATTTTCATGACCTTCCTTACCCACCCCTCCCAGTGTCCCCAGTGCCTGCAGCCCAGCTGGGGCCACCCAAGGACCTCGGTCTAGCTGGTGGTGGGGAAAGCAGGCTGTGACCTCTGAGAGAGAGGTTTGGGAGAGTGCCAGGTACTGCTGCCACCTGCCCCTGCCCACCCCTGTCCCCACTCCCCCACACAGCACTCACATTTCCCCATGTGCTTGAGCTTGTCTCGGAATAAGGCATCGTCGGACACGGCCCCGCCGGCCTCGCTGGCTGCACAGGGAGCTCCCTCACCTGCGAGGCAAACAGCAGCTCAGGGCAGTGCCTGCCTGCTGAGGGGCTGCACAGACTGCTCCAGCCCCCAGTGCCAGCACAGCCACGGCAGAGCTGCACAGAGCAGGGGGATCAGGGTGCTGGCATGCAGGGCTGGCTCTGGGTGGGGACAGAACCCCTGGGACCGGGAGTGCAGAGCCCTGGGCTGCAGCACACCCTTACAGGGGCTCGGTCCCAGCACCAGGGACCCCTCCAGGGTCAGCAGCCCCCAACTCCCCCGGGTCTGACTGCTCTGCGTATGGAACGATGCTACCCAGTGGATCAGGAGCAAGCCCAGCTGGTCAGGGAAGCAGAGACCCCCAGAGCCATGTCCCTGTTCCCCAGGTCCATGAGCCCGGCTGGAGCCCTGCCAGGCTGCCCAGCCTCGCTCAACACCGCGGGGCCATCGACAGACACCAGCTCTAATTCTGACTCTGGGCAGCTGCTGTGCTCCGAGGTTAATCAGGATTACCCAGGAACAGTCATTATGGCTCCAGGCACAATCCTCTGCACCAGCCCAGGCAGGGAGGGCAGGGATGGATGTAGGCAGGATCCAGGAGCCCTTCCACATGGGGAGGGCAGGAGCACCCATCCCCAAGACCCACCAGCTCCTCTCCTGTGCTGGGAGGGCAGCAGGGAGGGATCAGCCGGTTTCCTCCCTCCACGGCCACTCTGGAGGCAGCTGGGCAAAGGGATGGGAATGCAGGGGCTGTGGGAGGTCCTGCTGTGGAGAAACAATGCTCTTGGAAGTTACCTGATAATACAGAGGAGAAACCAAAGTCGTTGCTGACAGCAACACCAGTCGACTTGGATTTTTTTGACTCGTATTTCAATCGATCTGAAACACAAAAAGCACAGCTCTGCTCGATCAGACCCTCGAGGCAGAGCACATGGCTCTGCTCCCCTCTCCCCTCACAGCCCCGTGGCTGCTGAGGGACAGGCTGCTGGCAAGGGAGGGAGCTGGGGCATTGCTTCTGCACAGCCACCACAAGCACTTCGGTGGGAGCCCGCAGCAGCAGAGGAACTGCCCACCCACCACAAGCACACGAGGAGCACACCCGTGGTTTTCCTGCCACCTGCAGTGACAGTGCTGCCAGGACCCTGCACAGCAGCATTGGCAGGGCTGGGGAGGGCTCAGAGGCCATTTCCAAAGCTCCTTGTTATGGACTCTGCCAGAGATGCTGCAGAGGGGTGGGCAGGGGCAGGAGAGCAGGAGTCCAGGCAGCAGCCCAGCAGTGTGGGCAGCTCAGACCCCCAGCCCCCATCCTGTGCTGGCTCTGCTCTGGCACAAGCCTGATCCCACGGGCTGCCAGCAGGCAGAGTCACAGCAGGGCACACACCCAAAAAGCACAAGTTTCTGAAGGCCCTTTCACCTCTCTCCAGGGCGAGAAGGAAATCCCGGTTCCTCTGGAGCTCCTTCATGAACTCTTCGTTCTGCAGGAAGAGCGCGATGCGCTCGTCCTCCAGGTACTGCTTCCAGCGGCGCTCCTGCTCCAGCGAGCCCTGGCCCCGCGGCACCAGCGGCGGCACGGGCTGCCGGCAGCCCCGGGGGCCCTGCGGAGGCAAACGGGGCAACCTCGGGCTGGGCTCGGCCTTCTGCCCCTCTGTCACACCCCAGAGGGGTCCCTCCCTCCTCCGCCCCACAGCCCAGGGCAGAAGGGACAAAGGGGGACAGGGCATCACTGCCTCTGCCCCCTGGGAAGGGAGACAGGGCAGAGGGGACAGACATCCCACGTGGGAACCTTTTGGACAGACACCCCACATGGGACACTTTTGGACAGACACCCCACGTGGGAACCTTTTGGACAGACATCCCACGTGGGAACCTTTTGGACAGACACCCCACATGGGAACCTTTTGGACAGACATCCCACATGGGAACCTTTTGGACAGACACCCCACATGGGAACCTTTTGGACAGACATCCCACGTGGGAACCTTTTGGACAGACACCCCACATGGGAACCCCAGCAGAGCACAGGCTGGCAGGGATTTTTAACTCCAAACCATGGGGTGGTGCCATAGCAGAGTGTAAGAGGTGTGGAGGTACGAGAAGAGTCTCAGCAGCATCGCTGCTGTGCCTGCCATCTCCAAAGAGCAGAGTCTGCAGTGTCCTGCTGCCAAACGTCCCTGCACGAGGCACTGTCACACCTCACACCTGGGGAGCAGCACAGCCGCACGCTGCGGCACAGCCTCATCCCACCCACAATATTTATCTGATTTGTAGCTGCTCCCAGAGAGCCATAAAAAGCAAAAACACACAATTGCTGGGGAAAGAACAGGGCAGCTGCTCCTCTCCTCCCCCTGAGCCCAAATGAATTGGCACGCTCCTATTCCCAGAAAGGTAATAGAGCCTGTGAAGCTCAGCTTGAAGGGCAATCATTCATGAAAACGTGGCAGGCTGCCTTTGGAGACGAAACAGCAGCGAGGAGCAGGGTGCATGCAGCCCCAGAGCCCTCTCCATGCCAGGAGGGTGCTGGATCCATTTAGGGGTGTCTGTGATAGCAAAAGGCCAGAGGATGCCCCAGATTGTGTCTGGAGCTGAGCAGCATGCCCAGCATGTGTTGGGGCTGCTTGTTCTCCATGGGATGCTACCCACTGCCTGCCCTGCTGGCACCCAAACTTTGTGGCTTAAAGCAACCACAGAGCACACGTGGGCTCTGATTTCCCGGGGACAAATCCTCTTGCTGGCACTAGGTTTCCCACCCAAATTCCACTGCAGCTGCCCCCAAGTGCCCTAGCAGTGCTGCTCTCCTTAGGAGCATTACTGGTCCTGCGCTCCTCACCAGAGCAGTGGGCAAAATTTTCAAATAATTGAAAATATTAGGTGCATATGGCAAGTGGCATTTCTGGCACTAATCACTAGGATAATGCAGGAAAAATATCAAAGCTTTGCAGAGACCTCTTTCACATTTTGCCCACTTCAGTCTCTTGAAGAGGACATGCTCCAAAACCTTTGGGTTAGTCCACACCTGGTACCCAGTGTGCTGATGCTGCGAGCTCAGGGTGGCTGAGGCCTGGGATGGTGCCCAACACCGCCCAGAGCAGGTGGAAGGGGTGGCCAAGCCTCACCTGCGTGCCGGCCGCCTGCTGGGGCAGGATGCGCAGGAAATCCTCGGGGAGGCTGCCCAGGAGCGGCGGGTTCCAGTTCCTGTAGTGCGCGGTGCCGCCGGGGCCGGGCACGTCCGTCCTGCAGGGAGAGCACAGGCAGCACCTTTGGTGAGGAGGAACCCCCAAAACTGCCGTGGCAGCGTGGCACAGGGCTGGCACAGCACAGCCTGGCACAGCACAGCCTGCCCAGCTCCACCAGCACTCCTGGAAACCACAAAACCCCAGCACATCCCCGAACCTGCCGCGCTAGCAGCGGCTCTGAAGGGTGAAAGCTTTCCTAGAGCATTTGGAATGTTTGGGAGCTGTATTTCAAGCCTTGCCCTGCAACTCTGCAGGCTGGGTTGTCCTTCTCCTCCGTGTTTCACTCAGACTCCCAAAATCCAGCCCGGTGGAGCCCCAGCGCTGCGGGGATCTGCCACAAAGCTGACAAAGGTGTCTCACCCAATGTCACACGCAGCCTGCACGGAGGGCAGGGGCTGGCACAGAGGTGCCCAGGGCTCAGACTTGCTGTCCCCAGCCCCGCAGCTCCAGCCAGAGCTGAGCCAGCCGAGGTGTGTGCTGCGTGGGACTGGCTGCCCAGCACCTGCTGTTTTCCAGCAGCAGCAGCGAGCGCTCCCCGCCCCCGGAGCTGATTTTTGCCATTCCACACGCTGCCAGAGCGGCTTTCCGGCCCCTCAGCTGTTGGTGTTTTAGACCCTCACAGGGATTTTTGAGCCAGCTGTGAGCTTCATTCATCTCCCTCGGCTTTGTCTCACTGGCCCCCATAAGGAACAGGGCCAGAGTGCCATGGCAGGGCTGGCTGACGCAGCCTGGGCCCTGTGCTGGCACAGGGGGCCCCAGGAGCGGGAGTGCACGGGGCTGGGGCTCACCTGGGCGGGGGCGTGGGTGGGGCGCGGGGGTAGCGGCTGCCCAAAACCTGGCTCTCGTAGGCAGGAGGGGAGTACACAGGAGGGGGCTCCTCGTCTGAGCTGTCCGGCTCCAGGGTCCGCTCCAAGATCTGCAGGGTGAGAGGATGGGCTGAAGGCAGGACAGGGAAATGCTCCCCAGTGGGCCAGAGCTCCACGTGCAGCAGCAAAACAGGGACGGCACAGGCTGAATGCTGCTGCAGAAGATGGGGCAACCTGCTGGCACTGGGGGGTTCTGGTGGAGTTTGGAGGTACTGCTTTCAAGGGGAGAGGGTGGCTGAGCCTGTCCTTGGTGCACACAGCCCCGGGGAGCCTCTCTGCCAGCAGCAGAAGGGTCTCTGTTGGGTTTTGGGGCAAGGGAGAGCACGGAGAGCACTTGGCTTGAGCCTGAAGAACTGCCCAAGCCAACCTTTGGTGCAGCAGCCCAGCTGATCGGGGCACTCAAACCTCTGCCTGCCTGCAGCAGTTGAGTAGCACCGTGGCCAGGCAGGAGGAGGCAGGATTGGACTGATGTGCCCGCTCGTGGTGACCCAGCTGTGGGAGGCAGAGCTCACACAGGGGAGCCCCAGGCAGGTTACCTCGGGCGGGATGCTGTCCTCTGAGTCCGAGCTGTCGTCACAGCCGCTGCCGTCCAGGTTCATCTGCAGCAGCTGGTCGATGGTGGCGTCCACGGCGCCGTTGTTGGCTCTCAAGACACACTCGATGATGTCGTAGTCCATGTTGGGAAACATGGTCTTGAAGTCCTCCATGGCCTGGTTGAACTCCAGGCGCCGCACCTGCCTGGCGGGGCGGCTGTTGTTGAGCTCCTGGCCGGAGGAGCCGCCGCGGGAGCCGCCGTTGCTGCTGCTCCGGCGGAAGAGGCTCGTCATGGCGGGGCGGTGGCGGCTCGGTGCCCGCGGTCCCGCTGTGCCCGTGCCCCTGCTCACCGGGGGCTGCCCCGGCTGCCAGCCGGGACCATGGGTGGGCGGCGGGGGTCCCGCTCCCCGCAGCTCCGCGCCTCAGCCCCCGGCGCACGCCTGCATCCTCCCACCTGCGGAGGGGACAGGGACAGTCACCAGGGGACAGAGTCACCCAGGGGACAGAGTCACCAGGGACAGCACCCCGAGGCTCCCCTGTCCCAGCAGAGGACATTTGGTTCCGTTCCACCCATCCCACCCCATCCTCGTGGGACTGAGCCGTCCCTGCAGCAGGCCTGGCACGCCGGAGCCTGCATGTGCCATGCCAGGAGCTGCACCAGCAAAATGGAAGGCGAGAAAAATGGCATTGCTTCCACTGCTGAGGGCTGCCCGGATTTCACGTTCCCAGGTTTGACATGTATTTATAAGCACAGTGAAATCACTCTTTAAAATAAAACATGGAGTCGGCTCAGAGAGTGTCAGAGGAGGGGGCTAAAATGCTCTGCAGCACGGCAAATCGACCTTTTGGAAAAGCTACCAAATCCAAGATTAACATTCACTTTAAAACCATAAACAGATTATACAGCTACTGCTTCTCGTTTGAAAATGCAGGGCCAAATTCAGTTCTGGATTAACTCCACTGTTTGAAACAGAATTACCCCAGGAACACTTTTGATCCATAATATAATTTTCAAAGGTTTTTTCCTAAGTAGCAGGCAGAGAGTTCAGGATAACTGTCCCTAAATGGTATTTAATGCAGAAGAACGTGCCAAGCACATTTCTTAGCAAAATGGTATAATCAGATTCCAAGCCATTAAGAGGAGCAGTCACCTCTGAAGGTCACCTGGGCTCTCCCCTGCCCAGCAAGACCATGTGTGACAGCCATGTCCCCTCAGCCCCTGTGCCAGCCACAGGCCTGAGCTGCTCCAAGGGGCTTCCAGAAGCTGCTGAGAACCAAACACACTTGCAACACACGAGGAACTCAGCGGGAACTCGGGGAGAAGTTAATTTTTTACCTCACTGCTAATTTACCCCCACCTTCATCCCTAGGGACAGCGCTGGTACCAGAGGAATCACAGGGATGATCCCTGCTCCAGGCACGCTCTGCTCTCATTTCCTGGCTTTGGTAATGCTGGAAGCATTTGCATTTGGATGCACCAGCCACTGCACCTCAGTCTCTGGGCTGAGCACGGTGCCACCAGTCCAGTGCCACCTTCCTGTGGCATTTTCTCCCAGGCGGGGCAGGACCCAGGGAAAAGCTGCTGCAGAATCACTGTCAGGCACAAGGGGCCATTTCCAAACAGCACCAGCAGCCCCCGGCTCGCTCCTGCTCACTAATAATACCCATTTAACTGGTCACCCAGGCAGGCACTGTCTCCATCCCAGTAATTCTCAGTGCCCAGATCAGCTTGCCAGGAGGCAGGCACGGAGCAGCGCTGTGCAAGCAGGGCAGGAACAATTCCCACAGCTCTGCCCGGCTCTATTCACTGAGGACAAATAAATCCGCTGGAGTCAATTAATAAAACACTGCTGCTCGCTTCCTCCTCCGCTCCCCTGACTCATTCCCAGCGAAGAGCCAGCATTGTTCACACCTCTGGAATTAGACTTTAATTGCAATATTGCATGGCTGCTTTGGTCACGTATTAAATTGAGTTGTAACACATTCACAGGGTACACACCTCCTTACAAGATTTGGCTACTCCAAGAGGATGGGGAAGGAGCCTGGACACCCACGAGAACACGGCTTAGACTGGATAAACACACACACACACATGATCCACAGGTGGATATGAGAGTTTCTGAGGAGAACCAATGCTGTGCCAGCCCATAAACCCCAAACAGCAAAATAACCCCCAAAATCTGGCTGGAATTCTCCAGATCTCCATAAAGTAACGAAAATACCTGGGCTGGGGAATCTTTGTCTCCCAGCATTTGACCTTTGAGTGGGTATTAAGAGACTTCCCTGTAACCTGGCTGTGCCAGGCACTGGCAATCCCCCTGCCAGCCCTCTGGGCTCCTGTTGCCAACACCAACTCGGGGAGTGTTAGTCAACACTGCAGAGTCTGGGGCAGCTCCCTGGATAGTGGCACTGAGCACAGCAACGTGCTGAGCTATGGAAATCTCCTGGTCAGCAGATGAACAAAATTAGGGATGGGGACAAGATATTTCACACCAGAAAGGCTCCGCTGCACATCTGGCTTCAAACAGCCCCAGGGGAATGTGTTGGGACCTTCCCTGCCCTGAGATACACCCCAGGAATTCGGGGCTAGCAGGGGCCACACGGACCGGGGCAGTTCACATGCCCCGAAGGCTTTTAAACCCATTTTTCAAAGTCCTGCTGCTAATCCAAAGAAATGCAAATCACTCCATCAGCATGAGTTAAAATCCAGGGAAAAGCAGCAAGTGGCCCTGTGGGCAGGAGTTGATTTCGAAGACCAACAGGAATTCCAGATCCTCCCCAATTCCTGTGTGCCAGCAGCAGTGTTCAGGTGAGCAGCAGGGAGGGCAGCAGGACCCGGGTGGCAGCTGGGGAAGGGGCTGAACACGTTCCTGGCCCTTATTTCTGTGATGTCACTGAGGGGCTGGGAAGACGCCAGGAAAAGCAAAATCCTTTGGATTTCCCAAAAAGGAAAGCAGCCCATGGGTAGGCACAGGCACACCCGGGGCACGGGCTGGGCCCCTCTGCCCTCCTGCCCCTGTGCAGAACCAGGCTGGGGGGACTCCTTGGCTGCTGCCCGACCAACTTTTGTCCTGCCTGACAACAGCTCCCACAGAAGGACCCCGAACGCTGTTATTCATCCACCAAAGCCAGGCACAGGCATAATCCTTTGCCCTTCTGCTGTGCCCATCACAGGAGGAGCTTAAAGGCTTTGCAAGCTCCTGGTCTGTCCCTGTGTCCCTGTCCCGCAGGTCGCAGAGAGCAGGGACGCTGCTGTGGCTGGCACTGCCCCTGTGCCCCCACCAGCCCTGGCAGCACAGGGTAAATCCTCTTGTCCTGGCAGTGCCTGGTCCTGGCTCACCCAGCTGAGCCACCTCAGCATCCAGCAGGGGTGGCTGTCCTGGCACTGCCCTGTGCCACGGAGAAAGTGCCAGGTGACATCCCGTGCCAGGCTGGGGCCAGGCACAGAGCCAGCACTGGGGCAGGAAGGGTTTCCACAATGCCACATCCACACCAGCTTTTTCCCAAGTGCCTCCACATGCTGGGACAGGACTGGCACTAAAAATGCAGTGTTTTGGTGTCAGGGTAGCACAGGACACTTCCACACACTGCTGCCTCACTGCACACTGTGCTCAGCCACTGGCACGCCTTTAGCTGCAGCCCCTGCCCTTGGCTCACCACACAAACCCATAAAATACAACCAAACACAAGCTGGCCTTGGGGACAGCTCCCCTCTGCCAGCCCAGGGGTTCCCCCTGCTCTTCTGCACCCAAGCTGCCAGTGACCCGCACAATTCGGAGCCACCCTTGGCAGAGCCAGGGACACGAGCAGAACCAGGAGAGCTCAGGCAGGGATAATGCTCACAGCCCGGCAGGAACATCCTCCTGTGCCCCTGGCATCCTCCTGGGCACAGCTGCTCTCACCCAGCCCAGCAGGCACTCGGTACCTCCCAAAAATGGCTCTTCCACAGCCCCAGGGGAAGCTCTGGAGAGGCTGCCGGCCTCAGCTGCCCGGGAAGAGCAGCTGGATAATCCCGGGGGTGGCTCAGGCCAGGAATGTGGGGCTGGAAGCAGCAGTTGCTCGCTGAGCGCGGAGCACAGCCCCACCGGAGGAGCCAGCAGCTGGAAAAGCACCGGCACTGAGGGCTCACAGCCTCCCTGCTCGGGGAAGAGCCTTGGCACCGAGTGCAGAGCAGAACAGTCCCTTCCCCAGTGTCTGCTGCGGCTCAGACAGCAGATGGGATTGCTCAAACACTGCCCAGCCCCTTCTCCCCTGCTATCGCCACGCTGTGCTCATGGATCCCCCAAAAACCCCTTGGAGCCCGGACCCCCCTCTGCAGCCAGGACGAGTGTGGGGTCCCCCAGCCCCGCACTCCCCAGCCCTCAGGGCACCATCCCGTGGTGGCTGCAAGCCCAGGCCCGTGGTGCCTCAGCTGGGGATGCAGAACACACGTGCAGAAGCATTTCCACGCACAGGATTATTTGGAGAAAAGGGCTGACAGCTCCCCCAGTTCTTGGAGGGAAGACTCTTGGAAGAAGTCTCAAAACTCAAGGATGTTAAACTAGAAGTAATGGCTCTGTCCAGAGCAGATGTGCTGAGTTCTGCTGCAGCCAGCCCCCCCTTGCTGAGCAAGGGGATTGCTCAATGTGGGAACGAGAAGTCTGGGAATGTGACTGCTGAGCAGCTGCATATGTGATTATAACATGACTGAAATTAGGATGAAAAGTGTATGATCAGGAACAGAAATGATGCTATTCTCTAGCACCAAACATGCCAAGGATGTGCAGGATGGGGCCCTACCACTCTCTCCTAAATCTCCTTGTCACTTTCCTCTCTGCCTCAGGGGATGCTGTGCACCCCTCCTGGGCCCACAGCCTGGGAAAACTGCTCCCAGCAAATCCTTTTTCATGGAACAAATAAGCACCTGAGGATCTCCTTTAATACTTGTTCTACCAAGTATTAAAATGGCTGGATTTAAGCCCTTTTCAAAAGCAAAAGCAATCAGGGAGGCAAGCACAAGTAAGCCCTGCTTGGGAACCTGTGCAGCACGTCCCTCTGCAACAGGAAATTCCCCTCTTGGCTCCGAGGGCAAGTGCAGAGGAACCGGGAGAGCCAGGGAGTGATCCCAATCCCAACACGTCAGCACTCCTGCCTAGGTGGTCTCACCCACAGCTTTTCTGGGGAGCCCCGGCCACTGCAGCACTCTGAACACTCAGGATCCTCCTTTGAGGGATGCAGCTGCTGCCTCGGGGCACCCACTGCTCTCCCACCACCCTCCTCCTGGACAGATTTATGGGAGCCCTTTGTGAGCCCACCAGATGTCAGAGCTGGCTCTAAAACCAACACCACCCTCTAAAACCTGGGGGGACACTGGTGAGAGCCAGGCAGGGCTGTGCCCACCTTCCCCCCAGTGCCGGGATGCAGTGGGATCCTGCTGCTGGTGCCCCCAGCCCTCCGTGCCAGGGCAGGCAGAGC